TAGTAGTAGTAGTAGTAGTAGTAGTAGTACGTAGTAGTAGTAGTAGTAGTAGTAGTAGTAGTAGAGAGTAGAGAGTAGTAGTAGTAGTAGTAGTAGAGAGAGAGAGAGAGAGAGAGAGAGAGAGAGAGAGAGAGAGGTTTTTGGTGGGTTCATGTGGGGCGCAGTTGTGTTGGTCGAGCTGAACTTTAGAGTGTGCTTAAAGAAAATTTTGATTTTAAATAACGATTACTTTGATTGAGTGAGCTATTTGCATCAAGTTTAAGATTGAAGAGTAAATATGACAGGTCAAAAACAATTTCCATCTCTCTCTCTAGGTCAATACCAACTTCCACGTCTCCTCTCTTACCATAGGGACATTGGATCTTACCAAAAAGAGCTTTCCGATTGAGTAAATTATTTGCATCCAGCATTTCCATGTAGACAGGGCAACAGCATCTGCAACGTGTCTCTCTCTCACACACTCTTTCTCTCTCTAGGGGCGTTTCTCCAACCGTTATCCTTGATAATTACGACAGGCATTGGTTAACACACATTGATTAGTGCAGTAATTGGGACTTCCCATCGAAGTTCTAACGGTGTTGTCTTTGTGCCTTCTGTTGGACAGTCCAGATCGATAAGAGACCCTCCTCTCTAGTCAGATCTCAGCCGCCCATTTTAGCCCTTGTAGCCTTTCTTTTGTCTTGTCCAATACAATTGAGGTGTTTTACACTCCTGGATCTTGGAAGCATTCACAAACTTCACCCAAGTAATGAAAATTCCTTTATATTGACTTTTACCATTTTGTTTATATTCTAACTCTCCCCCCCCCCTTCTCTCTCTTTCTCTCTCTAAAATGTTAACAACATCTCTCTCTCTATCTCACCCGCCCCCATTTTCCCAAATCAGGAACCGTTTTCCTTAAGGTTTGAACATATGTTAGTTTGTTGATGTTATCCCCCAAGAATACCGTAAGTGGGAGAAAGAATGTCCAACCAAACCGAACATAACACTAACATACTTGTTCTATTGAATGCTCCTTATGTGACGTCTCACCCATAGTTATTAGGAACAGGAGCGGGAACGGCTCTGGGATCCGGAATGGGTATGAGAACGGGATTGTCAATCAACAGGGTCAAAAGTTCTAGTTGTCTAGGATCGAGATCCATACAACATATCTAGTCTGGAGAGGGATCCATTTATCAAGGATATCGGTCCCGACGCTCATGGGATATGGATCCCATTTCGCAAGGACCGCCTTCTCCACTTCTCATGGGATCTCGATCCCAAATACTCAAAGACCACGATTCATATAAATTGGTCGGTCCTTGATCCGATGTTCATGAAAATTAGATCCCACTGTGCAACGAACAAGGTTCCTTCTTCACATGTGTTAAATGCTTTAACTATTTTAATTCTTGATATGGTTTACACAATTTATAAATCTAGTCTTATGCTCTATATTCCATAATGCATAGATAGCAATCTGAATATTTTGATTCTTGGATCACTACCTGATAAGGATGGGGATCCACAAATAAATGGATTGTGATAAATCAGGTGATCGAGATCTCAACATGATAGGGATCAAGATCCACAAATAGAGCGATCAAGCTCCTTGATTAGGGGATCCAGATCCACACAAATAAGAGATCGAGATTCCTAAAAAAAGGATTGAGATCGCTCCTTCGGAGCATGGGATCCGGATTCTAGAGCCGGAACAATGTCCTTTAGGGGGCACTCTTAAAGGGCACCCCCGGTAACTAAGGTCACACCAATTCAATTTCCCTGGATAATTATTTCGTTGTAATCTATCAATTTCTTTTGATGGGGCACTCTTAAAAGGTACTCCCCGTAACTAAGGTCACACCAATTTAATTTCCCCGGGTAATTATTTCATTGTAATCTCTCAATTTCTTTTGATGGCAGTAGTTTTCCACTGTTTTTCTAAATATTTTCTTGGGTCATTGTTACTTGCTTTCTCCTAATGTCTTCCAACTTCTAAATCCCTGAAAGTCAAAGGGTTTATTCGGTAATGATTTAGGTAAGGCCTCTACAGTTGATAATCTACGAAGAAAAGGTCTGGTTTTAGCTAATATTTGCTATTTTGTAAAAGTGATGAGGAAAGCTGTGTGCATTTTTTCTTTCTTTGTCCATTGTCTTTTCATATTTGGCATGGGCGACGCAAAAGATTAAGGTGGTAATGATAATGCCAAGTTCATTAATTACTGTTTTGGAGTAGTTTAAACTGATTGGATTTTCAAAAGTAGGGAGTGTGATTTGGGACATATTTAGAAGTAGGGAGTGTGATTTGGGACATATTTTTAGAGGTGTTATTATTTGGGAGTCGTGGTTAGAGAGGAACAAAAGAACTTTGTTGGGTTGTCTGTAGGGTTATTGGATCTTAAAGACAAAATTTTGAATACGGTGTGGAGTTGGCTAAGTGTTATTAAAGAATGTTTTGGGGTTTCTAAAGTGGACATTTTTCAAAACTTGGAAAATCTCGTCTCTTATCATTTCCTAAAAGCTAGACTAAGGTTGACTCGGATGCCGCCGTTAGTAGGAAGTTTAAAGTTTAACTTCTATGGATCATCCTTTGGAAATCCTGAGAACGCAGGTATTGGTGGGGTTTGTAGAGATAGTGGGAGTCTATTGTTTTATGTTTTGCTAGGTCACGTAGATTAGTAACTACTAATCAGGCTGAATTGACAACTTTATTACAAGGAGTTTTGATTTGGAGAGAGTGGGAGAGAGAGGGGTTTGGCAAATGCATTGGTTATAGAAGGTGATTCTTTAAATATTATTAACTTGTGCTCTTATGTTTCAAAACCACTGGGATGTCTTAGTTCCATGTGGCTGAAGATGATGGATTATTTATCTTCGATGGTGGTCACTTTTCAGCATGTCTATAAAGAAGCTAATGAGATTACAGATGATTTGGATAAGGGATTGCTCCTATATTCTCTACTGATTTCTTCTGCATTATTTTGAGCAATGTATTTAAACTTTCCTATTCAACCAACAAAAGAAGATAAAAAAAAAAAGACAATGTCAAATGATAGAATTACAATTTCTAGGGAAAAATAAGTCAAATATTATTTACGAGTCCCAAATCATGACAATGGCTATCAACAGCACTCCAATAAGAACTGCTAAGAACTTCCAATAAGAAGTGTCAAAGTAAGATGGATTTGTGGGCTTAAATCCTTTGGCTATGAGGTGATTGATGGCAACATAAATAAATACCCCGCAAGCCAGGCCCATGGATATGGCATAGATCCAATCAGCAGCTCTTCCCTCTGTTGTGGTGTTGATGGTGATGCCGATTCCGACTCCGATAGGGCTTGAGATTGCAAATGAGAACGAGTAAGCAACGGTAGTTAACAGTGGTCTGTTTGGTAACATCCGTAGTAGTGCAATTCCCATGGATATGGCTGCAAATATCTTGTGCAAACTTATGACCCATAGATTTCTCCAAGCATCTGCCTTGGTGTCTGAAATGGAGGAACTGATTATTAGAGCTTGGAAGATTGATTGAATAAAATTGAGTAGAAATAGTTTTTCACACATAAATTATGGAAATTTATGAAAATAATCATAAGATATCAATTATTTAGTATTTTATTCTTATATTTTGATTTAGGGAATCCCCCAAACACATACAAAAAGAGTAAAAAAATGTGCTTTTTTAGGGCAAAAATACCCTCATTTGACCCATGCTTATGTTACCAGTTGTTTTTTTATTTGTTTCGGACTGAAAAATGAGTCCGGTCAAGCACAAAAAATGTGCCGGACCGAGTCCAATGTAGCACAAACCAGTCCAGCTTTCTGATATTATGTGCTAAACCGGCACTATGAAATTGTGGGTAAAAGGGGTAGAGGGGTTTTTTGTCATAAATTTGTTTATTTTTTGACTGAGGGTAGTGCGAAAAAAATGGTATTAGGGTTTTTTTTCAATGTGAAAATCGCGATTCAAGGACGGGAGTTGGCCCATGTCTGAGGCGAGTAACTCGGGCCAAGTCTGGCGAAGCCAAAAAGTGTTAAAAAATAAAAAAATAAAAAATCCCATAAAAAAAGAAAAATGCGTTTAAGTAAAATTACACAAAACATGAGGTTAAAAAAGTAGTGAAAAAATGGATTTTGAAAAAAAATCAATATGTGATGGAGGTATTTTAGAAATAATTTAAAAAGAAAGAAAAAATATAAAAATCATTATTAATAGTCAAGACACTTTCCAATCTTTGCTAAAATGATGAAAATATATATTACAAATAAATTTCTTATTTTTTGAGGTTTCTATAAAAAAAAATTGAATTTTTTTAAGATCCCCAAATCGGACCACTGAACTCGAGGATACTCGGACTCACCGGTCTACGAATCCAAGGTTTTTTTATTGTTTTGTTTTTTTTGGGTAGCTTAGTGGGAATACATTCCCGTACCTATTTTTAAAAATAATTAGCTGTCTCAAATGCATTAGTGGGAATGAAAACTTAGACCGGAAGCAGAGGCTAAGTGGTCTGCCACCACGACCTCAACCCATTCCCACTGGATTCTTAATGGGAGAGCCGTTCGCGAATTAACAAGATGAATATAGGTAGTAAGTATGATATAAAAGATGACCATATGGTCAAGCTCCTAAAAACCCAAAATTATGGTACCTTTTAACCTAAAAATTTTCAGATCATGTTTGATTCATAGAGAGAACAATTCTGAAAACGCAAAATTCTTTTCATCTCTTTAAACCGTACATTTACATGGCGTAGAGAAAGTTGATTTGGAGCATTTTTTGAGCTAGAAATCTCTCTTTTTGGTTTTTATCTTTTTATTATGAAATCCATCTTGATCTTTATTAAGAAAAGTTTACTTAATAACTGGAAAAAAAATGTGGTATTACCTTATAGTTATATTATATTTATGAGCTTGTTTTTTTAGTATTTTTATTCTCATCTACCTCAATTTGAAGGTCTAAATTTTAAACCCTCCAAACCATACCAAATAAAAAGAAAACAGAAAAAAGATGGACCTATTTGAGTGGTTTTGAAAGTTCAACTTTTAAATCACCCCAAAAAGAAAATTAAATATTGGGTGGTTCTAAAGTTCGATGATTTGGGCAGTTTGAAAGTCAAATTTCGAATTACTGAGACATATTTCAAACATAGGCTCTCGAGCTGCCTAAATACATCAAAATTTTTTTTTTTTTTTGGGAGGTTTGGACTTTAAATTTTTAAAATGAGACTAAAATAGAAATGAAAATCTCAAAAAATTAAAAACAGGAGATGACCCAATAATCCAACTATCTACATCTTTTTTCTATGTAAGTTTTTCTGTTTAAGATGATCTAGAAATGTTCGTATAAAAAAATAGGAAGTTTACAAAAATATCCTTTATATTTTTAAAATTAAAAATATCTCTAATATTTCATATTTTACATTCATGTTTCACTTTTTAAGAACGTGTTAGGTATTTCAATTTTTTCTATACGTAAGATTGAGCTCAAAATGTGTGTCTCCATATTTCTTAACATCACACATTTGTAAAATAACCAAAATATCTCTATAAATTTCTAAGGTATTTTGGTTATTTTTATTTATTTAAAATTATTATTTCTATTTTTTTTATATAGGTACATAATGTTGAATATTATGGACACCCAAAAATTGAGCTTAATCGTATGTATAAAAGACAATTAAAATTGAAGTAGATATGCTCTAAAAAAGTGGAATATGAACGTGAAATATGAAATATTGATGATAATATTTACGTTCCACAAAATATACAACATATTTGGTTTAGCGACGTGACATTGTGATTGGGGCAGTCTTAACCCTCCATTAAAAAATGAACGGTTGGATAAGGGATGATAGAACTTTTATATTGTAGGGAAACATAGAAAGCTTTCCCCTATTATAATTATTATTTTAAAATTTTTGGGATCCATCTAGTTATAACTAGATGATTATTTTCAATAAAAAAAACAAAGATTTTGAATTATTGAACATCTAAATCGTTCTCTGTAAAGATTGAAGTTCTCCCATGCAATCTTGGGATATCCTTTTTTAGGAACATAAAGAGTGAGAGTTAAGTTTATTCATGGATTTATTGATGGAATCAAATATGAGTATTTAGATAAAAGGGTATTCGGTTGGCTAACAATTAATAGACTTTTAATATCGAATCAGGATCAACTAGGGAAAAAATAAAACATTGATTAGTCTATAAAGATTATATCCCTAAATTTTGAGATTAGATATTCCCCAGGTAAATTTTACCCTAGGGAGTAGATAAATAATAAACTCCAACAGGTTGAAAATTTTTGGCAAAGAGCTTGGTAGAAAAAGGGTCTTCAATTACAAATAATGGGAAAGAAATTAGAAATAGTGATACTACGTCACGACTTCGAATCCCCTCTTTCTCTCTAAACTTTACAGTGACTGACCTGCAATGCCAACGGCAATCCCTTCAAACACAGAGTGAAAGCACAAGGCCAGGATGAGCAGCACGGTGTCCCCCACGTAGGTCGTCTTCACAAAAGCACTCACAAACTGTGCCCCTCTTTCGCTCTCTACGCTACCAACCTCCTCATCCTTAACCTCCCCACGATTTCCCCCAGTGAACCACAGCACAACACAGTCCCCCAACATGGTGAGAAGGTAGCCAGCAGATGCCAGCATGAAAGAGAATGGGTAAGACTTTGAGGTCAAATCCCCAAATTGTGATTGTGAGTCACTCAGAAAATGCATGAGAGAGGTGCCCAAGAAAACCCCACCTGCAAATTGTGTCCCTAAAAGCAAGAAACTCTCATTCCATCGATAAAAGTAGGGCGAAACCCCACCTAAAAATGTGCTCATCAACATGATAATAAGGCACCATATCTTTACTGTTATCAAGCCTTCTGAGTGCAGAGAAGAAGAAGAAGAGCTATCGCCGGCTGCATCATGGCCTCCATCGGCCTCTGTGTGATGGGTTTGTAGAGATAGAAAGAGAAATAAGGTTGGGATTAAAATTGGGGTTTGGATGGATAATTTGAGCTTTGAGGAAGCCATGGATCAGTAAGCATTCGTGGGCTCTTTGCCTTGGGATGGTTACATATGCAATGGCATTTTGGGTGGTTTGGAATTTTGATTGGTACTACTGTGTGTTGTACGACGTGGTGGACTCTAGAGAGGTAGTACAACGTCAACTTGGGCTGGTGATTAAAAATTTTAAAAACGGTTGAGGTTTCTATAAGGGCTAGGCTTCATGAAAACAAAATAAAGCTTACATCAAATCCTCGTTTAGAAAGCTGTTTTGGTAGTGGAAATCTTCATAATAACTCTAAAATCAATTTTCAACACCGACAGTGAAATTGAAAACTAAAAAAATAGTACAGATCTTGTGGATATCTGAATACTTATTTTTAAGACGAAATGGACGATCTAGATAATTTGTTGCAATATGCATTATTTTTAGAGCTTAAAATCCCCCCCTTTTTTTTTTACACAACCATAATGTTCAAACCAAGATGATTTATGTAAAAATTTTCTAATGCTTGAATTATAATTTTCTATGAGTTATAAGGAGAGGTTTTACTTATTTTGATAGGGCTGCAGCACTATCAAACCATTTTCCTTTCAATGAAAATTACACTCGACTGTGAGGTATTTGCCCCAACACTTAATTCATGTTTATCAGTGGACCTAGTCCACTTTATGAAACTTCCTAAAACTAACGGATTTAATTCTGGTACACCCCTAAAACTTCCTTCATAATTCCTACCACTAAGAAAGTAAAAAAATAAAAAAATGTTATTAAAAATAAAAACAAGGAAATATTATACAAAAATCTTTCACATAAAAAACAAACCCTAAATTCGTCCTCTCTAATTTCTCTCATTCCTCATCATTAAAAATGGAGGGTAAGGTCATAGTAAACGCATTTTATTGGAATCGTTGTCAAGTTCCATATAATATGTCGTGCGACGGGGTCTAAGTATGTCATGGTGCATAGTAAACTCCACCTTTAATTTTTTTGATAAGCCTGCCGGCCTATGTTATAGTATAGGCTGGATTGCTCAAATTAAACTTTGGGAACATCCAACGGCCAAGTGTGTCTATGCATTTTTTTATTTTATTTTTTTAATTTTTTGAGGTGGAATTTTGGGAAGAGATATACCGAACTTGCAAAAAAAAAAAAATAAATAAATAAAAAAGGATCATGGCTCAATAAATATTGACAAAAATGGCTTCCATAACAACGAATCTAAGCATAGCACGGGCCGTCACACTCATAAATTTTTCGGTGAAGTTTCCATAGGGCCCAAGTTTTATGAAAATAAAAAAAAGCCTCACCTCAAATCTTCATACCAAAAGCATTTAAGGCATTAGAAATTTTCATAATGGCTCTAAAGTCAATTTCTAACCTCGACAATAAAATTTGAAACTAAAAAGAGTTACAAATCTTGCGAATCTGTGAATACTATTTTTTAGGGTGAAATGGATGGTCAAGATGTTTTTTTGCAATATACATTATTTTTAGAACTTGAAATCCAAATTTTTTTTATAACTATAATGTTGAAGCTGAGTTGATTGATTTAAAGGTTTTTCAACACTTAAATTATAAATTTTTATTAGTTATGAGTTGAAGATTACTTATTTGATACGATTCCAGTCCTAGACTTTTTGCCCCTACTATACTCAAGCTTGATAGTTCCAGAGTCTGTCAAGGATTTTTCATGTGGGGACATTTACAAGCAGAGTTGTGATGACCGATGCAATCATTTCTTTCGTAAGTATGCTATCTCTCCTCCTAGAATATATGCATTTCCAACAGGTAGGCTCTCTCCTCCTAGAATATATGCATTTCCAACAGGTAGGCACATTTTAATAGAAAAAAAGAAAAAATGGTCCTAGTAATTTATGCTTCGGCATTGTGGTAGATATACTAGTTTGGGTGAAGATGGGGTTTCACGCCTTTGAAATGTGTTGCAAAAAGCCCCTTTAAGGTGAACTAATTTTATTTTTTTTTTTTGCCCTTTTTTTTCCTTTCTTTTATAGAAAGGGCCTCTAAGTGATGCTGAGGGACCGCTGTTTTGGGTGAGTTGGTGGGGAGGGAGCCCCTACTCTTCCTAGGAATCGAGCTTAGGACGTGGTATTGTAAATTGTCAGGTGCAAACCAATTAAGCTTACACTCCTTTTTTAGTGGGCTCCATTTGTGCGTAACAATGCTTATTGGAAACTTTTAAATTTTTTTTATTGGGGTATATTAGTAGAGATTACAACCCCTCCTTCAAGAAAGAGTCAATTTTGGAAGTGTTAGTATGAATGGAGGTGTGACCTTTCACGATCGCAGCCTCATTCTCCTATTGCAAACACTAATTGCTTTGCCCTAATTGATGATTTGGTGAGGTCACTTGTAATGGACATCACAAGAAAATTCCAAGGAAATAAGAATAGAAAATGTTTTCGTGCTTTCATACGCAAGTGAGGTCCCCTTACAAATTTATGGCCGTGAAGGATTTGGGATATATTTTTCTATGAAGATAATCTCGACCATGATGACCAGGAATCCACCAAAAAAAAAGAAAAGAAGAAAAAAAAAAGAAGAACAAAGAAAGAAAGAATGGGAGTTAAACTTTACAGTAAATTATTTTAAAAAATGGGAAATGAATTACTTAAAAATAAATTTCAGAATAACTTAATTTTTCAAATTTTAATATTAATTTTCTCATATTGAGATTAACAACCTACCAAATTTTAAATCCGACATCCATTTCTAAGATATATTTTAGAAGGGACACTACACTTAAATAAAGCATGTTTGCCAACGAAGTCAAAATCCCATACATTAAAAAATTATGAATTTAGAAAAGAGAAAGGAAAATTGTTTCATGCGGGCTGGACACTACATATGTGGTTTAAAAAGTGTAAAGCATCTATCTTAAAGATGGATGAAAATAGGTGCTCCATCTAAAAAAAATGAAAACCAAAGTCAAAAATAGATTTATTAATAGGTCCGTATTTCTACACATGCAGCATAGAAACCAGTTCTAAAGAGAAAAGAGGAGAATAAAAGGGAAAACACTGTTGAAATGATCAATGATGGGTCCCAATCCGTCACAAACATCACCAATATGTTAGCGTCAAGTTTTTTTTTTTACAGTATACATACTGACTTTGATGATGATGATGATCCATATCTGCCCTGATGGGACAATTTTAAGGAAATAAGCACCAATGTCTCTGGACAAGAGGGTGGCCCTCATGGAAAAATTTCAAGGAAACAAGCACCAATGTCTCTAGAAGAGAGAGAGAGAGATCGATCAACAGGTAGAAATGGGTTGACATGATCCAAGTGAAGGATCCCACGGTCATGCCAGCATCAGCCATCCATTGATCCAACTGTGCCAGAGGATATGTACATGACCAAGTCAATCTGGTCTGCATGATTAGTTTTTCTTTAAGAAGAAAATAGTTAATTATTGAAGCATGTTGAAAATAAAAAGAAGCAATAGCTAAAATGCAGAGCCAATTTGCAAGTCCGATAAACGCTTCTATAGGGAAGTTGACAGATCTGAATGTACGGTTGGTATGGTTCTAATAATAATCTGTAGGATGGCTTAAAGTATTTCATTCTTAATTTTTTATAATAGCGGACCCAGGGCGCAACTAAAAAGAATTAAAGGAATATATTTCTGATAAGAAAAATTGACCGAATATCCATGTAAGTTTTAGGGATATTTTCGTTATTTTATTTTATTGGAATTTTTTTTTATTTCTTAAATGGCTTTATACGAAATCCACATTTGTCTGTCATGATAAATTTCATGTCAAAATAATTTGTCTGTCATGATAAATTTCATGTCAAGATAATTTGGTGACGGAAGCTTGATGATGCATGTAGCAAGGTGCCCAGTATGCTCCCTGAGGGAACAAGGCACTAGGGAATAGGCAGCTAGTGATGCTCAAGGAATGTTTAAAGGAGAGAAGCCCCAAAAAATCTTAGAAAAGTTACTTGCCTTAAGCAAGATAGAGCACATGCAATTCAAGTATCTTGATCAAGTGGGGCTAGAGGATCAATCCAACTATTTCATCCTTCATAAGATGCTGGGACATATAGAAAACTGCTTCCCTCTTAAATTTTATAATTAGATATAAAAATAAATTTTCAAGCCACCACAAAGATTTTTTATACTGAATATGCATGCGTCGACACTATTCGAAGGTGTGTCTCACTTTGTTTCTTTAGGGCCTAGCCTTATACAAACCACACCAAATATATAATCCCTTGTCAAAAAATATACATTATTTTTTCTAAAAATGGGATGATACCTATTTTAAAAAAAAATTATATCCACTCAGAACCTTGGCTCTAGCCCGGCCGTAGTGCCTACAGGCTCAGACTGGCACTGACGGGGCCAAAAAGGCCCTAGCGCAGTCTCGGTCCTAGCCCTAATAGGGTCACGCTGGGCAGACCATGCCAAATAAAATTGACAAAACAAAGAAAAGAGAATAAACCAAAGAAAAATATGGCAGGGCATAACCGAAATAGGTGAGCATTGGTCCAAGCCCACAAGCTGTGGTTACCTGGCCCTTGAGCCATTTCATGGCGTGAGCCCTAGTGCTTTAGGGCCGGGCTGACTGGGCTCGGTCGGGCCACCCTGCCATTGCCACCACTACCTAATACGTCAACGAAGAGCATCACAACCTAGCCTTACTATTTTCCCTAACTTATTTCCCTCTTACCACGCCCCACCCAAACTAGACTAGGAGTGGGCCGGGCGGCTTTAAAAAAGGTAAAGCTTGGGCTACAAATTGTGGACCGAGGGCCAGGCTAGAGCAGGTGCCGACCCGGTCCGGCCTTGCCCAACCTTTTTTTTTTTTTCCTTGTTTTTACTTTTATTGTTTTTGGTTTATTTTTGGCTCGGTCTGTCCCAAACCAAACAAGGCCAGAGCCGGCCCTATAGGGACAAGGGCTGAGCCAGGGCCAGGGCCGAGGCTGGCCTGGCCCTTTGCCATTGTTAACCCAAACCCATTTTTCTGCTCTCTCACCCCACCCCCTTCTCTCTCGTTCTCCCCACCCCTGCCCTCCCTCTTTCTCCATCTCCCCCCTCTTCCCAAATTTGCCCTCTTCTCTCCTCTCTCTCTCCCTCTTCCCAAAGCTGTCTCTCTTAGACC